AGAGGCATCAAATAATCAGACAAAAATGAGATAAAATTAATTTAGAGATTATAGAAGATTATAAAATTATTTTAGCTTGTTGAAAATAAAAAGGTTGGCTTTAAAAATATTTAAAGCTGAATTTTTACTAGAAAGGGGATTATCTAGTAAATTTTTAAAAGAAATATCTACTATAACATCCTAATTTTTAATCCAAGGATTAAAGTTAATTAACCTTTGATTATCTAAAAAATTGAGGTATTAAGTAGTTGAAATTGGATGTTGAGGCTTAGAACTATTAAGGTTTATTATTGGAGGTCATGACCCTGGACATTTTTTAGTGGTCTTGGAAATTAAGAATTTTGAAGGAACTACTGATCTTGTCTTTGAGTGATTCCTTTTGAATTTGAAAATAGAATCTCAAATTTTCTAAACCATCCTAATTTGTAATTTTTGGAGATGTGTGGACTTAAATATGAATTTTTAAAATTGAGTCTTTTCTTACTGTGTGACATTCGTCGCGACCAATCCACGACGAATGTGTCACAAACTGGTTTTTAAAATCAGTTTCAAACACGATTTTCATATGATTTAGAGTGGTGGAACATTTGGGCTCTATTGAGCTTGTAGATTTTAGTCCTTAGGAGTATATTTGAGTTTCCAAATATCAGAGTAAGTATTCCTACCTCCTTTCTATCATTTTCTCATAGATTTTTCAAGATTAAGATAGTTGAATCTTAGTGTTCTTCAAGGATTTCGAATGGACTAAGATTTTGACCAATTATTTTGAATTTAAATGAATTTTATGGTCTAATCTAAGTGTTTAATTAGTTTAGTTTTCCTGGATTTGGAGTTTTAAGAGATTTGAACCTAGGGTTTGTGATTTTTGGGAGGTTTATAATGGTTAATGATATTGTAATGATTCAAAATGAGTTTTGATGATTGTTTTATGTTAATATGAGTTAGAGTTAATATTTAATCGGTTTAGAATATTGATTTGAGTTGATTTTTATGATGAATTTAGATTGAGAAAATTGAGACTTGTAATCAATTGGTGTAATTAGGAGACAGTTAAGGATTAGGATAGAATACTGAGTTTTGAATTGGTCAATTTGAAATTGAGAGGTGTTTTGAGTTGAGCTAGGATTTTGAGTCCCCATTTGTTATTATTGATCATTTAATTAGTTATTAACTAATATGTCCTGATTGTGTGGTTGGGTAGATTGTTTATGATTGATGTTGTTATGCATGGGGCAACTTGTTGGTGGTAATTGATCTTTGCTTAGGTGAGAAGTAATCATTTTTCTCTCATAATATATGCTAGTATGTTGTTTGTGAGTAGTTTTATATTTTAGAACTATAAAAGTTATTTGGGTATATACTTGGAATTATGTTGATATATTGGAAATGACTATGTCTTATAGGACTGAGTTTTGAAAATGCAATCATTGGGTTTTTGATAATATGTTACCTTTTTAAACTTTGATTTAGAAATGGATTATGGAATTGGAAATCCTATTTTTTGGATTTCTTGAGTATGATGCATATGATGGATATTGGTGCGTAAACTGTGTTTATTACCGTCGCTTGATGAGTACCTTTATTAATGCATGATGGGTGGTTTCTAACACTTTCTCATAGTGAGGGAATGTCTTCCTTTGTCCCTATTCTTCAAAGTGAGGGATGAGCCTAGGTTTATCTCCCAAAATGAGAGATTACTCGTTTTGGCTCTTGTTTTTCTCATAGTAAGAGAATGTGGTCATTGGAATTACATTTGCATGATAACAATGATATATTGTTACGAGACTTGAGAATTGCATTTTAAACTTTGAGAATAGTGATATTGAGATATATGAATGAATACTTATTCTCCCACTTGACATCTCATAAGCACATATTGGTATGTATGATGAGCTAGACTATTAGTTATTGAGCCTTATGTCTCACCCTGTAGTTATTAATGTTTTCAGGTGAAAGTTCTAGGATCATGCTACAAGGGAAAAATCTGGAGGCCTAAGCTTTTATAACTTTTTATACTGCCTCTGTCTTTTTTTTTTTTAGATGTGTTGAAAGATTGTATATTGCCACCTAAGGCCTCTTTTTTTTTTTTTTAATACTCTATTGATTAGAGATTTGACTATTAAACTTGATTTGCATATTTCTAAATTGTGGATTAATGCTGGTAGTAGATCGGATGCCTTGTGCTTGTAACTATTATGGACCTTATTGATTATTTATGATTTATGATACCGACTATTCTGTAATCTATTTGTGTTTTAGGCTTGGTATTGTTGTTACTCCTGCGTTTGACACTTGGAGGCCCAATTTGAGATATTTGGACTTATGTTAGTTGTGTTAATCAATGGCTTATTTCCTATAACTGTATTGGCGGGAATTAAATCCTTTTCTAATATGGTGTTATTTGTTCTAATTACTCAAAATCTTTTATTTAAGAATGTTTTTGAAGGACAAGTTAAAACCTTTCTACTGTGGTAGCTTTATGTAATTGCTTTCCTTTTCTATCAAGTAGTATTTTAAGTAGTTCTTAAAATCAATTAAAAAAAAATAGTTCTTAAAGTAAGTAAATAAATGGTTTTTGGAATATGATTTTATATCTACAAGTTGAGTTTTGGTCTAAGAAAAATTAGAAAATTTTCCTATGATAAAAGGGAGCTAGTGAAGTAGATGAGTGAATTTATAGAACCAGGAAACATCAGAAAGTATTTCTGTTAAAGTTACAATGGAATAAAGTAATTTAATGTTTCCTTTAAGAAATAAAAACCCTAGAGGCACTTTATATTTAGTTATTATCATCATTTAAAGTCATATATAATAAGAGAGCAAGTGTAACAGCAGGACAAGGATATCAGAACACATGTCAGTGCTATTGGAAAAGTTAGGATCCAAAAGAGTACCAGATATGGTGCAATATTACAAAATTCATGGAGAAGTAACCTAGGGTTTATTTTTGGATGAATTTCTCCCTATTTTAGGCACCATTTTCATAGAAGGGTGGTGTTGGAATTGTAGCAATTGTTAAAAGACAAAATTGACAAGAAAACCTCTTTGGATTTCAAACTACTTTCCATTTTTCCATGGTCATGATAATTCTTCCAAATTTGAGAGCAGAATACAGTCTTTGAACTTATATAAAGGCTTAGAAAATATGACATATGACCATTGTAATTCTATACAAGATTGATTGCAGAGTATGAAGGGTTAACTTGAAAAGCTTTACAAATACCCCCAATTGTATGAAGAATATTGGTCAACTTAGAAGAGAGATGGGTGAAAATTTTTGTCCTAAAAAGAAGAGAAAGAATAAGAAGAAGAGCAAGAGAACTTAAACAAACCCAAGCTTCCACATAAGTTAGGGTTCGTGTAGCCATATAGATTGTTGAGTTTAAATATGGTTTTGATGGTAATTGAGAGCTAGAAACCCTAAAAGGAGGTGCTGTCCAATTATGGTTTAGTTATGGAAAGGTTTATTGAAATTAGATTAATGATTAAGAGGAAGAAAAGAGTAGAAATTAAATAATTTTGTGATGAAATTAAAAAAAAATCTAACTTTTCCTTGATATTGTGTAATTTTTTGCCATAGCTAGGGTTTATGTTAGGGTTGGATTTCGATAATTTTGATGCTTCCAATGTGTTTAAAATGAAAAATTGTGTAGAATATAAGTGATAAAGTAAGTTTGGAAGTATTGGAATTGAAAATGAAATTTTGCCCTAAACCCTATAGTATTTCGACCAAGTTCAGTTCTATAGGAAAGAATGAAATTTTGTTTATTTTGAGTTTGAAAATAGATTCTACATGCAAATTATGTAGAAATAACATGTAGAATTAATTTTAGAAAAATTGGATTGAAAGTTTAAAAGTTGGAGGTTAAAATTTGTTCAAGAGAGTTATGCTTGGAAATGGCTTATTGTTATGGCTCTAATAAGTAAATGGTACGATGCTTTAATGCAATTAGAGCCATTTGACATCAAAGAAGATGAAAGGGAAAGGTTAGTCAAGCAACTTCAATTGTTGGTTGTAATGGGAGCAAGAGAATGAATGTGACAAGTTAAAGGTATCAAATTTTACCCTACTCTTATGTGCTTGGTATTTACTTGCATGTATGATATACTTGTTATGTTTATATGACTTTATGAACTCATATATTGTATATGTGATTATACTTGAAGCATGCCATAGGCCTATGAGATTTATGAGTAATACATTATAGTTTCTAAATATATCATTATATTATAAAAATGTTAAATTTGCAAGCATGTTATGAATGCTAAGCTATGTCTTATATGTTTGGATGGTAATTGTTTGCTATTGACTTTTTTATAAAGATAATTCAAACATAAATCACATCACATTAACTAAATTTTACCCTAATTCAAATTTATAAAACTCAATGAAATAAAAGTCATTTTTGTGGCCGTTAATCCAAATACACCATTTGTCCTGGAATGAGATAGGAGGTTGCCATTTTAATTTTACATGTTTAATATATACTTCCTCCAATTCTATTTATAATATTCCAAAATTTAAATTAGTTTGGTTTTTTTACAAAATCCTATAAGGATTGTCTAAACATTAATTATATTTTAAGCAATTTTTTCTCATTAATTTTCTATGCTCTCTTCTTATCTTATTGTCACATTTCATTTTCTCTCATCTTTTGTCTCATTAATAGTATTTTTCTCCCTTATTTGCCTTTTCATTAAACAAGAAGATACTCGGAGGAAAAAAACAGAGATTCAATTTTTACATATATATTTTTTAAAATTAATTTTAACTGTTTTTTTAAATAATATAATTTAGTTAATAGAATCTTATACAAGAAAGAGAGAGTAATAAATAACTAGGGGGAAAAAAAATGGTTTCTGTGCTTTTTTTTCCCTGGTCAAAACCGAAAAAACCAAAGGTTAAATTTAAAATCCTGTTCAGGTGAAGATCCTGAAAAGATTGCGTTGTCCTGCTGGACGAATCTCCAAGAAAGCCATGGTTAGGACTTAAGAGGACTGAGGAGGAGCCAAGAAACAAATTAATTTCTGGTCCACACCAGCCGATTCTATTGCTGTCGTGAGGTAAAATATTTTCCCACTAACAGCTTCATGCGTCAATCTGTTTTCATTTTTAATTTATTTATTGTTATAATCTGTTTTAGTATGACGAACTAATGACCTATTCGTCAAACCCGGCCCGCGGATTCATGAACGACGCCGTTTTTTGGGCATCGGTGGATTTCCCTCCTGGTAAGAAAAGCGTTTCATAAGGGGAATGATTTTGGCTTCGCATCAGATCCAAACCGGAGGGTGAAGAAAAAGAAATTCGGAGTTGAGAGAACCAGTCAACCTTAGTATTTGTAGTCGCCAGCAATGGCGGCACCTAAGTCCAGAGGTACCACGCAAGGCTCACACGGGATGAATGCAAGGGTTTGGCTGTATTCGATCCTCCTCACCTTGCAATATGGAGCTCAGCCTTTGATTTCTAAATGGTTCATCAGGTCTTTTTTCAAATTTACTTTTAAGAATCCAATTTGCCTTGATTACTTTTCTGTTATTTACTGTTTGGTTCTGGATTCTCACATCCAACGAGATTATGGGGCTATTTTGCATTCCTGTTGATTAAACATGAACGCCAATTAATGCATTGTCAGTTTTTCCTGAACATGATAAATCGCTCGTAATTTTTTCGGCTTGACATGTTAAGATTTTGGTATTTTTAGATGTCTATCCAATAGTGACAGAGGGCAGGTTTTATACCTATAAAGATGTTCCTGTGAACGAGGGCAATTTAAATTAACTTCCTTTTTAGGTCAATTGACTCCCTTATGTTATCAGATCGTCATTTAGTTAGTGGTTGTTGGCAAGATTAAATTAGGGCATTGGAAAAACAAGATGGACCTGATTAATCACGCTAGTAATCAATCAAAAAGTATAAAAGGATGACTAAGCAACTGTATACGTGTGTGTGTAGTTGTCAATTTCCAATGGCGAATTTTGAGATAAATTGCAGAAAAAGAGAGGGCTTTTATTTTCAGGAATCCATGCAATTAGGTTTTTTAGAAGTTGAGACATTGTTTTATTTCCTTTTGAGCTATTTGTTGACTTGAAGAATGGCCGGTATGGTCCAGAGTGACCCCCCCAAAAAAAAAAAAAAAAGATGGGATTTAGAAAGCGATATTAGCTGCATTCATTTCCTTATACTGAGCGTATGACATCCTAAAATATTAATATAGATGGGAATATGATTGCTAGGCTGAGAAACTGTCTGAAATGAGGTCTGGGTTTGAATGAAAAGCCGATATCCCACTTATATGTCCTTGTCCTTTAGTCTGTTTCCTTCATAATGGAAGGAATTTCCTCATTTTATCCCGAAAGTTGTGCCACTTCATGTTAGTGTAATGAAACATTTTCAGTTCATGCCATTTGCCTTGCCTTTATATCTTATAGGCATATGCATGTTAAGTACTTTTGGTTTTAATGATAAAGATTAGATTGTTTTTCTACCAAAATCATTCTGATTGGGATTTATTTGTTAGTGTATTCTTACTTATAAGTTATTATTCACGTTGGGGGGGGGATTTAATGTGTTAAATTTGGAATTGATTTTCTAGCCATATCCTTGTGCATGAAGCAGTACATTTTATAGTCAATGGTTGTATGGATCTGTATTTTAACCTCATTTCCCTTTCTTCTCACAGAAAAGAAGTTATTGTAACTTCATCTGTTTTGGCATGTGAGATTGTAAAGGTAACTATTAATCAAATTTGTCTCGATTAGTCATATGTATTGTTCATTGCTTCTCTAACTATTTATTGGGGAAAACTCAAGTATTCTTTTTATATGTTTTTTAGGTTATATGCGCAGTAATTTTCATGGCAAGGGAGGGCACTTTAAAGAAAGCATGCAAAGAATGGACTGTGATTGGTGCATTGACTGCATCAGGACTTCCTGCAGCTATCTATGCTCTTCAAAATAGCTTGTTGCAAATTTCGTACAGGAATCTTGATTCACTCACTTTCACAATGCTGAATCAGACAAAGATACTTTTCACTGCATTCTTTACATACTTAATATTGAGGTATACCACGAGATTAACATCCTCAATGTTTATGCTTTGCTAGATCTAACTCATGTTCAAATGTGCTCTAGAAGAAACATTAACTATCTTCCATGTTAGGCTGGTATACGGTTTGATTGAATAGTGCTTGTATATCAGAAGTGATATATTGTTTGTTGCTCACTTTACCATTAAGTTGCGATATGCATTACATTGTGGTTTAATACTTTCATACTTGTTAGTAAATTTTCCTGAAGGAATGAAAATCTAGATGAAAAGTGCTTTGTATTAAATAAGATCTTGAGGGTGTTCAAGGCATCTAATAATAACTTAATACAGGCAGAAACAATCAATTCAACAAATTGGGGCTTTGTTCTTGTTGATAGTTGCTGCTGTTCTTTTAAGCATTGGTGAAAGCTCTAGCAAAGGTTCTACTGGTGGTAATGCCGATCAGATTTTATTTTATGGGATTGTTCCAGTATTAGTTGCTTCAGTGCTCTCTGGGTTGGCTTCTGCATTGTGTCAATGGGCCTCTCAGGTTACCAGAATTTAAAGTTTCAGATTTTTTTTTTTATTCATATGTTTTTTGTTTATACTTGTAGTATTCATTCATTTTATGACAGGTTAAAAGACACTCATCATACTTGATGACAATAGAGATGTCTATCGTTGGGAGTCTATGTTTGTGTCTTAGTACTTTGAAATCTCCAGATGGGAAAGCTATGAGAGAAAAGGGGTTCTTTTATGGTTGGACTCCTTTAACTTTGGTAATTTTCTTGCTATTATTTGGCCCTTTTTGGTCCTATTTCGTAGCATTTACATATTTGAGCCATGTTTCTGGATAGGTCTAAGAGACTTGAAAAGATCAAATCTTGGTACTCTGGTTAAGCATTTGCATTTAGCTGTACAAAGTTTTTTTTTTTTTTTTAAATTTTTGTTAAGGTTTTTGTTGATGTTATCCAATCATGTTGACTTTCATCTTTTCTGCTAAATGATACGCCATAGATTTATGCTCAAATTAATTGTTCTAAAAAAGTTAATAATTGAATTGTATTTTTGAAGGCTGTTATATTGTAATTTATACAAAGTTCATCATTTGGAAATTTAGTGCCTTGCCCTATGCATTCTATTTACATGCTTTAAGTTTGCCTCTTTAATTAATGTTAGTCTTGTATCTCAACTTCGGACAAGTGATATATTGATATTTATTCATTTCAGATCCCAGTGATTTCCAATGCCCTTGGTGGAATTCTTGTAGGTTTAATTACAACCCATGCCGGTGGTGTTAGAAAGGTGAAAAAACTAGTTACTTTGGAGAAAGCATAAGGTTTTTTATTTTTGGTATATATGATATGATTACTAGCTTAGAATGATTTTGCTGAACTGTCTTGATGAAGCAATTATAGAAAGTTTAAATCATCAAACTGCACATATCTGGTCATATGTAATGCTGGTTTAAACTAGGGATATAGTTACTAGATAACTTATAAAAACAATTAAATGAATGAGGAACCTAGTAATTTATAGACAGAATTATACTTGGTCGGGAGAAAAGTATTCATTTTTGTCTTGGCTATTGTATGAAGGTACTTACGGTGGTTGTGGTTCTGATGTGGTTGCAGGGATTTGTCATTGTTTCTGCACTTCTAGTTACAGCATTGTTGCAGTTCATTTTTGAAGGAAAACCACCTTCCATATGTTGCCTTGTGGCTCTTCCACTTGTGGTCAGTAGCATTTCAATATACCAAAAATATCCCTACCAGCTTAAGAAGAAGGTGTCGTAAAGCCTAACCGCAACAGGATTTGGAATGCATGACATCGATTGTTTCTTTGTATCCAAAATATATGCGTCTTGTATATGATAGAAAGTAGAAATTCTTCTCAAATCCGACCTGGACTACTAATCAATATAATTAGGATTGTATTCATATTCTGGCCTCTTCATTTTGTAACAGACGGCATGATAATGAAATTCATTAAGAAAAAGCATTTTATATTTATTATGTTTCACTTGCTATCTTATTATTCATTATTTTTTATTTGATATGGTTCATGTGTTTGTAATCTAAACGTATTCTTGGCCCATGGCAGTTAAATATATATTAATATAATTGTATTGATATTCATCCCTCATTGTTTTAATAATATGCCATTATACTCTTAGAGCCTGTTTGGGTATCTCCAAACCGTGGTTTCAGAAGCACTTTTCCGCAAAACGAGATAATCTCCTCCACATATTTACTTCGTAATCCGTAAAAGCACTTCTAAAACCATGGTTTGGATTCTATCCAAACACACCCTTAGTTAATAAATAATAAGTTTGGTAACATTAATTACGATTTTTTTTAATTTTGCTTTTGTTTTTTTTCGGGCAAATATGTATCTCTGTTTTCACTGACTTTAATCATGAAGGGAGAAAAATTATGAATGGAATCGGTAAAATAAACTGAGAGAGAACTATAATATTCATCACTCATCTTCATACCAATTTGGTATTTTTTTAGTCAGTGTATTAATAAAAAAACAAAGGAAGTATAAAATCAAACAAGATATTACTTCTGATCTTTAATATAAGAGTTTGTTTTACTTTTATTTTAGTTCTAACTCCTAAATATAAGAACCTAATTCAATTTGTCTATCATATTTATCTATTTTTTTAAAAATAGTCTTTATAATAATAGTAGTTTTAACCAATATATTTGATTAGCAATGATATTTTAGAAAAGACAACACTTATTTATTATAAATAACTGACTTAATTACTTCCTTTAATCTATTCAAATTAATTAACTAGCTTTTATATTAAGGACCGGAGGTAGTATATCTTTTGTAATTGCATAAAATTTAAAATATAACTTTTGCTGATTATAAATTATGAATATCATAACTTGTTATAAATTAATAACTACAACAAATTATACCATCTAAAAAGCTGCCAATTACCTAATGGCACAAAGCTTCCCCTCTTATGGAAGATTGTGAGCTTATCTTGTTCACTTTAAAAATATTTCAGGTTATCTACATGCAAAAAAGACAGAATCAAACCCAAAGAGGGAAAGAAAAAGAGGAATAATTTACAAAACTTTTGCTCGGGAAAACCCTCTAAAAGGACCAGTTTTGTTTGAAAAAATAAATGGTCATTATTCAGATTGAAAAAGTGAGGACAAGTGATCCTAAGTATAACCCCGTCTATTGGATCTCTCTCATGACACCATGTCAGCATCCCGGCAATCATTTGAGTTATCATTCTTCATCCACCCAATCAGCCATCTCATCATGGTCTGCCTCATCAACATCCGACTTAACGTCCACTTAATTATCCATGTCAATATATCGCACACCCACTCATCATCCACGTCACTTCGCACATCATCAAACATGTTGCTACCCACGCCATCGCCCACATCACTAAGCCGTGTCATCGTTCTCATCATTATCTATGTCATCAACATAGCCTGAGTTATTATCCACATCACCTAACGCATCATCATAGACGTCATCAAAGTTTCCTAGCCATTATTGGTATTGTCACACCCTGTGATCAACCATGTTACTACCTCCGGTCCTTGATATGAGATCTTGTTTGATTTTTATTTTGATCCTAAATATAATATCCAAATCCACTTTGTCTCTCATATTTATGCATTTTTTTCTAAGATAGTCCTTCTAATAATAATTAGAATTATTATTACCGCAGTTATGCGACTCAGGACTTGCAGGACTTGCTAATTAACGAAGATGATCGGATTTTGGCTTTCTACCGCAGGATACGTATCGGAGAGGTTAAGACGGCTCTCAAGAAAATGGACAATGAAAAAGCTGTTGGGCCTGATGGTATCCCTATTGAAGTTTGGAAATGTTTGGGCGATGAGGGGGAGGCGTGGCTAACCAAGCTTTTTAATGAAATTCTACGCTCTAAAAATATGCCGGATGAGTGGAGGAAAAGCATTTTAGTTCCTATTTACAAGAATAAAGGAGACATTCAAAACTGTGCAAGTTACAGGGGGATAAAACTTATGAGTCATACAATGAAGTTGTGGGAAAAAGTGATGGAATATAGATTGAGGTTGGAGACTTCTATTTCGGAAAACCAATTTGGATTTATGCCAGGGAGATCCACATCGGAAGCAATCTATTTACTAAGGGGGTTAATGGAGAGATATAGAAGTAAAAGAAGATATTTACATATGGTTTTTATTGACCTGGAAAAGGCTTATGATCGTGTGCCAAGAGAAGTATTGTGGAAGGCTTTGGAAAAGAAAGGTGTACGGGTTGCGTATATCAAAGTCATACAAGATATGTATAAGGCGGTAACTACCAGTGTAAGGACGCCTGGGGGGGAGACAAAGGACTTCCCTATTAAGATTGGCCTACATCAGGGATCCTCTCTGAGTCCGTACTTGTTCAACATTGTTCTGGATGTTCTAACTAAACCTGTTCAAGAAAGAATCCCTAAGTCCATGCTTTTCGCTGATGATATAGTTCTTATGGCGGAATCAAAAGAAGAGATTAACACTAGTTTGGAGTTATGGAGAAGGACTTTGGAGTCGAAAGGTTTCCGTTTGAGTAGGAACAAAACAGAATATATGCATTGTGATTTTGGAGGGAGGCAAGGTAATAGGGATTTGGAGGTGAGGATGGGAGAGCAAATTATTCCTCAAGTATCAAAGTTTAAATACCTAGGATCCATTATACAGGAGGATGGGGAAATTGATGGAGACATTTCTCATAGAATACAAGCTGACTGGTTAAAGTGGAGGAAAGCTACCGGAGTTATTTGCGATAAGAAGGTACCTGAGAAACTTAAAGGAAAATTTTATCGGACTGCTATAAGACCAGCTATGATGTATGGTAGTGAATGTTGGGCAATAAAGGGAAAACAAGAGCACAAAGTCGGAGTAGCAGAAATGAGGATGTTGAGATGGATGTGTGGTCATACAAGAAAAGATAGGATTCGAAATGAAAAGATCAGGACAAGAGTCGGTGTGGCACCTATCCAAGAGAAAATGGTTGAAAGTCGCTTAAGATGGTTTGGACATGTGCAGAGAAGGCCTTTGGAGGCCCCGGTGAGGAGGGTGGATCAAACAAGATGGAGTCCCATAAAAAGAGGCAGGGGAAGACCGAGAAGAACGCTGAATGAGGTCATTGAACGAGACCTCCTAATCAACAACATATCTAAGGATTGGGTTGTTGACAGAGCACAATGGCGTTGTGTGATTCATGTAGCCGACCCCACCTAGTGGGATAAGGCTTGTTGTTTGTTAGTCTTTCTAATAATAATAATTCTAGCCAATACATTTGATTAACAAAGATATTTTAAGAAAGATAACACCTATTTAATTGAAATAACTAACTTAACTTATTTCTTTAATTTTATTAAATTAGTCAAGTAGCTTTTATAATTAGGACCGGAGATAATATTAGGTATGTCCTAATCATCATCTCATCATTTGCCATGTAATCAACATCATTCGGTTCATTATCCTCGTAGTGGTCATGAGGTATGACACTGCTAGGAAGCTTAAAAGACATGTTTTTGGGAATGTTTAAAATAGGATTCACTTTTTGTAGTGCTTATAAACATCTTTGTCCTAGTTCATAGTGGTGAACATGTTATGATAATGGTCGGAGTCCATAGATTAATGAATATAATTTTGACAAGTTGTATTTGAGCCAAAGTGCTTACAAAGCGTGAGAAAACTGTTAGAAATTAAAATATGCTCAATAAAAAAAAACAAATATTCTGTTAAGGCTTGCTCCAAGAATTGTCTGTCGGCAATTTTGCTATTTTGGCTCCCAGTCCCAGTTGGTGGAAGCTCTATTATTATCATTTTGTTAAAAATTAGTGTTCAAGTCTTTAAGATGATAATATATTTACATTACTATATCATGACTATGTTTTGGAGTCTCAGAGAATAACTCTGATATAAACTGTAGGCCATTTGCTTCACATAGAAATGGTTATGCATACTTCTGCTACAGGATTTTGAGCCGAAAAACTTAGGACATGGAGAGCCTTCTGCTAGGGTTGGCTCTTAGTCTATCGGGATATGGTGACTTTGGTTTGTCCTGTCTTTCTCCAGTTTCGTCTGCATCAAGTTTTGCATGAAACGACTGCTTAATCTTTCTCCAATTAAGACCCCAGCCCGATGCACTTTTTGGCTTGCTGTTGCCCAATTTTTCATACTCTCTTTGTAACTCAGAGTAATCATTGTGCAGTTCTGCCATCTTGGACTTTACATTCTCAAGTTCTGATTTGAGTGCTTGAATCTCTGCATTTGTAAATGATTGGTTTACATCCTGTTCATAGTTGTTTCCACTTGGTTCTGGCTCCTTTTCTAGCATTGCTTCTCTCATCTTTACCTGCTCTGAAAATAGAACCTGCAAATCTCATATTTTGGTCAAGGATGAATTAATAAGGGCAAGCAATCATAATTGTTAATTTTCTGTTTTCGCTCAAGTAATCATAATTGAGTGAAATCTTTTGGTTAACAATTTATGCAAAGATTTAGTTGTTGATACAGCACAATGATGCCCTATGATCCACCTAGCTGACCTCACCTAGTGGAATAAGGCATGGTTGATCTTGTTTGTTGTTGGTTCTATACTCTTTTACAATCATGTGAACCATTTCACCTCTCTACAGGATATTAATTTTCATAATGGACTTGGAAATATCCTGTTCCATCTACTGATTATCCTCTAGTGAATTAATTTATGATGACTATCTCACATCACAAATTCCCTTTAATTTAAAATGTCCTTCCAAATTCGTCTCCCTCTGCTGCAATGTCAAGAGGATTAAATTAAAAGCACAATAGACGTAGGCAAAAGCTCTTCTGCATAGGAGAAAGTTTTTGCCAAAGTTATTGTCGACAATAACCCTCAATGTAGGCTTCATTTATATTTAGATCACCTCTTTTAGAGCTTAAAATAAAAGCCCTCAAAGATACATCATATATGAATGGAGCAACTAGATTATTGGGTTCTGACAAACCTCACCTGTACAATAGTTCTCAGAGGCAATCTCTCATTTTGTGCAGCATGCATGCATGCATCAAGTGAAAGTTTTCCACAGCTCATTATTTTGCATAGCCTTCTCCGGTCATGCTCAGGCAATGTAGGATGAGTCTGCAGAAATCTCAGTGTCATAATGTCAAAACATTGTCTTAAAATTCCTTCTACATGGATATTGAACAGAACATTTAAACAGAAGAAGAAGAAATAAACAGCTAAAACCTTGAGATAAGTGTCAATGGCTCTGTATAAACCATCATCACAGGTTCGAGCATTTTCTGGTAACAGTTCAGCCAAAACTTGAAACTTGGTAATTGAGAGATTTGGATCTCTTGCCACTTCAGCTAGGTAATTGTCTAAGAGCCTACTAATGTTGAATTTCCCAGCCTTGTGTTGATGTTGAACCTGTTGTTCATGCATCAAGTAGTATTCCACAATCCTTTGCACCATATCAGTGTCCAGCATCGTGCATTCTTCTGACGAGTTGACCATGTTACTAAAAGGAAAAGAAAAAGCATGAAGGTTATTGTGATTGACCATTTTGAGAATTTCTTGTTTTTTTCTCTAAAAATTCTCAATTACAGAGTCCATCATCTGAAAAAGGGAAAAACTATACACACTTTACTAGTTTCCATTGATCTCCACTTTGATATCTTGGAATCAAAAGATCATTCACCTCAGCATCTGCCAACGTCATCCCCACTCTCTTTTCAATGTCTGAAATGAGAGCAGGCGATGCAGAATACATCATAGCCATTTTTAACATCTGCAACAAGAATTTACATGACACAGCTTCTTGTTGAGGAGGAAGTATGCTTAACAGACTTTCAATAATTGTCTTCTGCTCCTTGCTGTTTCCAGACTTTTCTTTCTCCTTCCCACTGTAAATACTGAACTGTAATTCATTCTTTCCATACCCATATCCTCTTAGCCCTTCTAACTCCACATTAATTCCTGGTAACCATAGTTTTGCATAGTGCATAATGCATTCACCTATTATCTCTGGTTTGGTTCCTTTTGCTCTTATAGCTGCAATAATCCGCATGAAATGATCGATGCGAAGATTTGCCACATCGTTGAACCACCAGCCTTCTTGATTAGCTGCTGGATCTGTTCCTGTGGAGTTATCTTTAGAAGCCTTCCAAGCAATGGAATCGCAGCATCTTCTAACAATTTGGAGATTCTCTGCCCATGGAGATAGAGTTTCACAAGATTTCAGTACAGTGATTGTGTCTTTCCATGAAGAAAGCACAACAAATGTGAGGAAGGCTTCAGTCTTGGAAATCAGATTCCCATCTTCTAGTTCTTCAGTCATCTCTAAGAATTCTGATGCACATCTCAGTGCTGCTATATTCTTTGGGTTGAAATCTATTGGGAGGCCATAGCAGAATCTTACAATTATCTCAAATGTTTCAGATCCTCCTGGGAAGTTTTCAAGCCTTAGTTCATATCCTGCATTTGAGACCGAAGGCTGTACTTCCAATCGTCCTATGTAGGCGCATTTTGCTATCAAGGGATACTGTTTCAGTAAAAGAAGCAAACACAACAAATGATTATGGTGCCTTTTCTCAAGAATTAGTATCTTCTTTTTCAATGTTTTCTGCTTTCTCTTGCTCTTGAGGAAGTATTAAAAGATGGAAAGGTTACTTAGTTAGTTCAACTACTAAGAAAAAATAAAATCGCCTGTGATCAACTTTGCTCTGATCATTTGGAAGAGGAATGTGTAGGAGGGTAGTTTCAGGGAAAATTCCAGTTTGTAATATAATAAAATTGAAAAGAAGGTTACGCTATGCATGTCTCCGAATACCTTGTGAACATTATAGGTAGTTTCCTGAACTTCAATTGACAAGTCCGAAGGGATTTGAGGTGTGATGAACCTGCGTGATTCCAAATCAGAGCAAAACCCAAAAAACAAAAAAAAAAGGACATGAATGCAAAAGTCACATCAATATAAGCAGATTATGGAAGTTGTGAATAATGTCTTTGTACCTGCCAAAATATGAAATGAAACAGAATCTTTTGTGACTTTAATATATATATATATATATGTATGTATACACACTACCATGAATGTTCGTTCTTGAAGCTGTCAGCTATTGTGATGACTTTGTTGGGAACTACGATGCTCTTGTCTGGAAGTTGATCAGGGCCATTAGAATAATAATTCTCTTCCTCTGTGTCTTTTGGATTTGGTTGAGTGTCCTGAAGCTGAAGAGACTTTCTCATGGTGGTTTTCTTTTTCTCTAGTTGCAGTCATGCCATGATCACGCCTCATTAAAATTTTGAAGAATAAATGGTGCGACATACCCGACCTCTGCTCTTAATTAATGCTGAGAAGCGAGTCTGTGGTTTGTGTAGGATTGTAGTTAATATGGTTGGTGGATTGTTCCTTTCCTCGGGAGTCTATCAACTTTCACAAAATTCCCCAAGCACATAAAAAACTGAAAACGACATATGGATGAGTAGGATTGGAGTTAATATGGCATATGGTTAGTTAGTTACGTTGTTTTCACTTTCACTATTATTTATTACTCATAGAGTCCTTAATATATTGGAGCTAATTAGAGTCCTAAATGTGAGATATTCATTCACTTTGTTTATCATATTTATTTATTTTTTTTCAAACTAATTAACCTAACTTATAAGATGATATATGATCTCATATCTCACATGAGTATTTTAGGACAATTAGGTTATATTTGTTATAATTAATAATGTACTCCTCTTGTTCTTAATATAGGACCTAATTTTTGAGTTAGTTTTGGTCCTAAATATAAGACTCATTTCTCATATTTATCAATTTTCTCTAAATTACTCCTATAGATACTCCCTCAACCATAATCAAGTAGAAGAGGAAGAGGGGTATTAAGAAAGATGATTATGGTGTTTTAGGAAAAATATGTCACTTTTCTTATAATTAACTAACTTACCTAACTTCCTTAATCTAATCAAATTAGTTAAATGGGTCTTATATTAAGGACCGGAGGAGTATCTAACTTTCTTAATGTGTTAAAATTGGTTAAGTAACTCTCATATTAAGTATTGGTCAAAGTACTGGAGTATTACAGTCAGATCATTGCATCATGCAATTGAACCGGTTTGGATACTCATCAAGGTTGATAAACACTTCAAACTCATCAAATCTAATGCAGATTTAAAATTTTTAATTAATTATTTTTAAATAAAAATAATTTTTTAAAAAAATAATGATTAATAGACTATCTTTATTTAAAATTTTATACCCATTAAAATAATTATTTTAAAAATAAAAAATTAAATTAAATATGGACTGTTCATGTCTTATCTCGATGATCCAAATCTGATAAGCTGAGATACACATCACTTTGATGAAGACCCAAACTCATTTCACATGCAATTATGCTAAGTTTAGTTTATGCATTAAGTAATGTACTTATGATCAAGAAAAAGTAATCTCCTTTGATTATTTGAAATCATGTGTCTTGTTGCTAATTGTTACATGACATTTTGTTCGTGGAAGTGGAACCATCTATCCTTCATTTGTTTGAATTATTAGGGAGAGATCCTGAAACTTGCATATAACTCAGGCATCATTGTAATAAAATTATAAAGTTTGTAAGAAGATATATTATTTATAAGCAAGTGTGACTGTGTGGTTCACTTTAAACTTTTTGCAATGCACAAAAATATGTCTAGGTTGTTGTTTTCTTTTTTCAAAAGAAAAAGAAATTGATTTTGGAATAACATAATAAAACGTAATCTTTCTAAGGGAAAGTGGGGATTTTCCCCTTCTCACTTTAGCCATCAATATTCGAGATAACCAAAATGCGGAAAAAAAATTGTACTAATTGATAATAATTATATAAATCTTCAGATGTATTCTAACCTTTTATTTTAAAATCACACTCAACACTCTTAACATTTTCAGTATATATAATTTTGCATATTTTATTTTTATTAAAAACAGTATGGGTTGCTAAACATTTTATTGTAAATAATGAATAACATGAATTAATATTGGGGAAAAAACATGAATTAATCAAATAAATATAAGAGAAATTTAATTAATTACTTCAAGTTTCAAATTTGAGTACCATATTAATATTGATTTAAATATTATTTATTTCTTTATTATTACTAGTTAACATTTAGATCTTACGCCTAAGTTAATAAATAGTTAAATTACATTTTTGAAATTACAAGGTGATACCGTGCATTTGGAGATTATTAATTAATTAATATCTTTCTTATATATGAATTGTTAGGGGTAAATTTTTTTATTATATTCAAAATGATATTTTTTATGGAAAAACAATTATTAGAAAAAGTAAAACTATATAGAGCCCTTTACATGATAAAATTTAATAAAAACAAAGGGGTTAAAAAAAATTAAAAAGAAAACAACAACAACAACAACAAAATGAATGGCCGTGTGTATCAGTTGGTTTTTTTCCCCCCAAAATGATAAAAAAAACAATTATTTTAACTTGGATTATAAGGAAAAAGGGCTTTTATTTTTTTATTTTTTTACCCCAAAAAATTAGGCTAAATTGATCGTAAAGAAAGTTTTCTGTTTTTTTTTTTTAAGTTTTTTTCCCCTTGAAGTTCAAAGGTTTGGCCGTATAACGTCCGCGTCGTGGTTGGCGCCTTGGCGGTTTCTCCTCGTGCATATAAAAATGTGTTGCACTCGGAATTGGCTATTGTCATATTTTTCGTGCTTCTCCCTTGATTCTCGCTCTGTGATTGTGAGATTTTTGGGAGATTCAGATCTGACGCTTGCTTGCTTCACACAACCAACTACTGACATTTCTTTCGATCCATCTCCACAAAATGGCGACAGTGTCCCCTCTTGCCAAATACAAGGTCGTCTTCTTGGGTGATCAATCGGTTGGCAAAACCAGTATCATCACACGCTTTATGTACGACAAATTCGACACAACATATCAGGTCATTCCCGAGCCCTCTGTTTCCTTTGATTTGTTTCACAATTAGGCTTCGTTTTTGTTCATTAAGAGTTCTTTCGAATCGCACTTGAAGGATTTTGATCATGCTGTCGATCACTTATCTCTTATCAGATATCACATTTCCGATTTACGATATCTTTACGTGTTTTTTCGTTGATCAGTCTGCAATTCGACATATTTTACGCTCTTAGTTCTTTTAGCAGCAGGCAACACTATTCTCGTTTGTTATGGAGAGTTTTTCATATGTATATGCTTTGTAGCTTTAGTTAGGTGGTGCTGAGGGATGAAGATCTTCTGATATGAGACAGTTGATGTATGTATACCGGGAAAAATATTGCTGTGGTTATGAAAGTGGTTGCCAAGAGTAGGAGCGAGAATAGATCTTCTGTGACATATTCCAGTCTACTGGATGCTTTTTCTCAGTTTTTGTGTGTCGTGCGGGACATTATCATCTGAACGGTATTTAAATTCTAGTTCCGATATAATGTAGGATTAAATTAGAATCAAACCATTGCTTACAGGTTCGTTGTCCAATAATTATGAATATGAATCCCCACTTTAAGGGGTTTGAATTGGTAAAATGCTAGAGAGTGAGAAAAAGAGGTTGTACTTACGGAATTATGTCCAAAGTTTTGATTCATGTCGATAATTGAAAATTGAATTGAGATATAGGCGAATCCTATGTATTGAATTCCTCTGACCTTGTAATGTTCCTTGTTTATGCTGGTTATCCTGTATGATTATTGTTTAGCAGATAAATGAACATGGAAACTTGTTTTTATAACTCTTCTTGATTCCTGCTGCTAGGTTAACACATGTTTTGCTAATTTTGAGTTGCAGGCTACTATTGGAATTGACTTCTTGTCAAAAACGATGTACCTTGAAGACAGAACAGTTCGGTTGCAGCTTTGGTAGGGCTATGTTCCTCATATAAACAATTTTACTCTAATTATGATTATTTTAACTTTTAGAAAAGCTTTGTTGGGATACTCATTAGTGAAAAGAAAAACTTGGTTGCAATTTTTTAGACGTTATACTTATTACTTTGGTTCCGTGATATACTTGTTGGATTTCTAAGCTGTGAACTATTGTGCTCTGTTATATTGGATGAAAACATCTGGTGAACCTTGTCGTTTCTTATTTCCTCTTATTCATAGGAGATCTGAAAACTACTTTAGGTTCGCTCTTAAGAGATGAAAAGTCCTACTGCTGCAAGTTTTGACCTCATAGTTCATATTTTTCATTACTAAATTTGATGGAATTACTATCTTTCCACTTTATATTCCTTTACATAAACATCTCACCCCTTTTTATGGACATTTTTAAAAGAATAATAGATAGATTTTCAGTTCACTGAGCTGAACTTGAGTATTTTGTGGCTTCGTCAATATCTTGTGGTGTATTTGGTGTAGGCTTTTCTACATGTTGAATGTCGCATCATTTGGCTGAGCGCCGTGCATTTTAACTTAACAGGGATACTGCAGGACAAGAACGATTTCGAAGTCTCATTCCAAGCTACATTAGAGATTCTTCCGTGGCAGTTGTTGTATATGATGTAGCTAGTAAGTTGTTTTGTTTTCTTTTGTCACGAAGATTCTTTTTAGTTTTTACATGATTCTTTAAATCACTTGTTAATGACACTCAGCAAAGGCTTTGTAGCATAAGTAGTGATCGAAAAATTTCTCCTCTTAAAGTTTCTCTCTGATATTTGCTACATCTTGATGTTCGTTAATGTTCCTTTTTTTATATTCACAAGCTGTTGTACACCCATCTATGGCTATCCGAGTTTATCATCTAGCTTTTGTCATGCAGACAGGCAATCGTTTCTCAATACTAATAAGTGGATTGAGGAGGTACGTACAGAAAGGGGCAGTGATGTTATTATCGTCTTGGTTGGGAATAAAACCGATCTCGTTGATAAAAGGTGAGTGATGAGTTATGAAATGGGGCCCAAATGATTTTTACTGGTTACATTTTGTTGATTCTGTTGTATGGAGAAGGTGGGAAAGAGGGAGGAAGATAAGGAAAACAGGGAGATAGAGAGAGAAAGGGGGGGGGAGAGTAACAGGGAGGAAAGAAACTCAATTCATTAATCTCATAAGCTGGTTACAATTTGTCCAAAGCCACTTATTTATAGCCTTTAGCTACTAACAGTAATCTCTCCAACTTACCCCCAACTATTCTTTATTTATTAATATGTTTACATATCAGATTCTTTGGGAACCGAACATGTTTGTTGAAGTATTCTATACCGTGTCCAGTAGCAGAAGGGACTTTGCTCTTATGTGGTTCTTCACTGGTTTGCCAAATTTTAGGCATAAAAATAATTTCAAACATGTTACGTTTGTGACAATTGGATATAGAAAAACCCATTGTTTACCGCCTAACAACCTAATTAGAATCCTGTTGACCCCTTTCTTTTGGATTACCTGTTGGGCATTTTTTTTATTAGGGCTTCAAAATTTGATATTATTATCGAATGAGAAACCAAGTTTATAGGATAAATGGATTGATACTAGATTTAGTTTCTGTTTAGCCCGTTTCATGTATGAATATGTTATACTACTTCCAGTCCTTAATATAAGACCCTGTTTGAGTTTTATTGGGGTCTTAATTTGGTGTTAAATATAAGACCCCAATCCACTTTGTCTCTCATGTTTATACATTTTTTCCAAAGTAGCCCTTCTAACAATAATAGTTCTAGTCAATACATTTGATTAGTAAGGATATTTTAGGAAAGACAACACTTATTTAGGACAAATAACTAACTCAACTTACTTCCTTAATCTCCTCAAATTAGTCAACTGGCTCTTATAAATAAGACCGGAGGTAGTATCAAATATTTCTCTGGCTCTTATAAATAGAGAGAAAATATTTTTTGGTTTTATTTATAGAGTATTGAGAGAAATTTTTTATATAGATGTACAAATTTATCCTTTATTTATTATTGTGTTGACTTTGTTTACCTAAAAGATAATGTATATTATTAAATAGGGATAAAAATTAAAAAATTTTAAATTTTAAATGGGAGTTAACGAAATTTAAAATTTTTTTTTATATAAAATATATTGCAAGTGACTTATAGACAAAATTAAAGGAGCAGATGATTGGTTTCTCCCTTCTAACGTGGTTTTGATACCTATGCAGGCAAGTCTCAATAGAGGAAGGGGATGCTAAGTCTCGTGAATGTGGAGTCATGTTTATAGAAACTAGTGCTAAAGCGGGCTTCAATATTAAGGTGAATTCTCCAAGCCCTTTCCTTAATTTGTTAAAAAAGAAAAGAAAGATCGTAACGTGCTTCTTCTGGAACCTTCAAATTCACATCACAATTTTTGTTTAGTGTCTAATCTAACGCAAATGAAAATTTGCAGCCTTTGTTTCGAAAAATTGCGGCTGCCTTGCCAGGGATGGAAACTCTTCTTTCTCCAAAACAGGAAGACATGGTTGATGTAAATCTAAAGCCCACCGTCAATTCGTCCAATACAGAGCAGCAAGGAGGAGGTTGTGCATGCTAGATAACGGTTAATTTACGAGCAGCTAAATGTGTCTTTATAGACACCTCTGGAATTGGCTCCTTTGGTAAGCGATATCCTACAAACCTTGCTTTCATACGAATGCTTCTTCAGGTTACACACGTGGGGGGAAACCGCTGCTGTAATGTTTGATGTAAGATACAAAGTTCCGTAGTCACTCTTTTTTTCTTTTTGCCTTCAATTATTATACAATTAGCGTCTCAAGAATAAATTTTGGGAAAAATTACAATGAAATCCACTATTGAATCTCAATAATAAATGAGCAGATATCATTTATTATTTTAAAACTTATCATTACATACTACTCTATTGTTACTAAGAATTTTTAGTAATTATGCTTCTTTCTTGAGATTTCATAACAATTCTTCCTAAATGTTATAAGCTCAGAAAAAAATTTTAAGTTTTGATTCATTTAGACTTACATTCCATATATGGACGTTAAAAGCATGTTTAGTTGAGAAAAAGGACGAAAAATAAGGAATTTTTATTTAAATTGTATTCGAAAATATATTCAAATCAGACCAGGCCTCTCTCTTTCACTTTTATTGTCCCCAGTTTAGGCATATCGCAGTGTACTTTGCTGAAATCCAAGATAATGGAACGTAAGTTCGCGTATGTACGTAGTTGAGATATAAACATCTGAAAAATCTAGAAGGGGGGGGGGGGGGGAAGTTTATGGCCAACTCGAAAAACGCCACATCAAGATCAAGGTTATGTTTGGCGTGCATTGCCATTTTTTGTAAAAATAAGTTAAAGTACTGTTTGTACAATTATAATAAAATGTAATGAAAATATGTAAACAGGGTGTTGAACGTATTACAAAATATTTTAGAATATTAAATATATCTTAACTCTTATTATTATTATATTAAATGAGAATATGTAAACGTCATTTCTATGCAAAACATTTTTCATATATTACCATCATTATAAAGAGTCATGAATTAATTTTAATAGAGAAGTGTATTTTACATGGAAAAAGAAAAGGAACTATTCTAATTTCTACATGTCAACACAAAGCAGCAATTTTTAATCAAGGTTGAACAACTAAATAAGAACAAAATTCTCACCCTTCTGCCTGATTCGCAACGTCAGATATATCAACACCAGCGATCCCAAACTTGACCTGCATAAATATTAGAGATATTGATCTGTTTGAGCGAAAGATGTAAGTAGGCAGAATGAGGAGAGCATCAAAGACAAACCAGAATGACTCAACAGAGAGTTATCATTGTCACTACCTCTCCCGCATTAATTATTTCAATTGGAAGAAAGAATTTCCAGCTGCCCTGCACTCTCCCTCTTCCCAAAAGAGAAAGCATAGACACACTTAAGCCCGCCTTTAATGCTATGATTTGGAAATTGGAACATACATGACCATTCTAAGCTCCGAACCGTTGAAACTTTCAATTGCAAGATAATTAAATAGACGAGTCCCTCTCAAGGATAACCAAAAGTTAATAACATCTATAACGTAATTGATGTGGAATTTTTGCCTCTCAAGGCTTGTCCGGAATTCGGGAAGAGAAGGAAAAAGAAGGATTCTAAAGAAAAATTCAGAGAAGAGAAGCGATGGTTAAGTAATTTCCTTGGAGAAACTTCCTCCTCCAAATCGAGATAACCTAAAATTAGAAACCAATTAAGACCTTAGGTGGTCTTTGGAGAAATGGATTTGGAAACGAGTTATCCTACTTGTGTGACTATTCCAAAATCCTTAGTTAGCCCTACAAATTACTAAGTCCCAAGCAAGGAAAAGGTTTTAACGAAATTCCTCCCTACCGTTCCCTTCAGCATCAAACATTTAATGTTTTGGATTGGCATGGACTACCGCAGGAATGCTGCAGGAATACTTTAAACCTTTGAAGGGTAGAGATGCTCAGGGGCTTTGTGATAAAGGAAGTCAAGGGTCAGGCGTTGATGTGAATGACGATTGTCAATCCCTTCATTAGAAAGCTTCTGAAAATGTTATAGCTAATGAGATTTAAAAAAAAAAAAAAAAAATCCTACGGATACCATACTAGAACTAGCAACAGTAACCGAACATATTTCTGATCCCAGAGTCAATTCATGGAATCAAGACGACTGTACTCTACCTTTCTCCTGCGCCATTCTTCTGCACCCTTCCTCTTTGTCTAATTTAGAAACAGCACTCACTAACCCTCTTCTGCTGGATTATCATTCTATCAAGTAAAACACTAGACGCCCCAAATGGATTAGAGGAATCATTACCTCAATTGATTTACATTGCATCATTGCATGATATCTCTTGTGAACTCCACAAGCCACAATAGAATGTAATCCGGAAAATAAGCCTATTCTTGTACTAAGAATGGGGGCTTCAAAACTCGGAGGTATATAGTAGTTACACGTACCAGTGATTGGGGTAAGTTAAAAGGAGAAAGTGAAGCATTCAAGTACACGTTTGGAAAGACAAGATAGCTTGATCAATGAATCTGCCCAACTTTCTCATAAAAGTACTTCAATGCTCAAAGGCTAAAACACAAAGTTATTGGTAAATAAAAGTCTCATTCTTACTGAGCTCAAACGTTTTTGAGAAATTTGATAAAAATTGTTTAGGATAGCGCTGTGATTTGTAATCTTTATCAAGCATAATAAAAGTGAGAGTTTGAGCGTCTCTAGAGACTGTGGAATCTAATTAATTATAATGAAGGGATATAACTTGATAGTTGACATCTATGATAGGCATGACTAAAATAGAAGGGACATTACCTGCAAGTTCAATGCATGGATTAATGGGCTAGATGAAGAGATATTTTTGCAGGATATACAGGATGATCACGGGTGTAACAGAGATGACATGTTCAGATAAGGTGGGCTAAGAAGTAGCGGGCCTAGAGTATTGATTTCTCAAGAAAGGCAACTCTAGGGAGAAGGGAGTGAGCTCAGCTACAAGAACCACTCTATTTAGTAATATCAAACTCTTGTCTAACTTACTAGAGTGATTGGGCATGGCATGAAAACACATCCACTACTTCAGAATTATTCCATGGAAAGGAGGGTGAGATTCATTCCTTCACAATATTTTCAGCCATGTTTAAGTTGGGTGCCACAAGTGGGTAACCTAGGTGCACTTCTTCTTAAGATAGCACTATGGTGACTTCAGGAAGGAGACAACCTCATCACAAATATCATTCGCCTCAACTTCAGAAGGGAAAAGTAAGGAAATTTAGTTTGCTATCCAAAAGACAGACTCATGGACACTCTCAAGTTGTTTGTTTAGCAGTCAGATAGAAAGTAAATTCACCATGACAGAAAATTGATACTAGCACATATCTAGCAGCAAATGTAATGCATATTCTGATTGAGGAAATTTGAACTTACAATATTGAAAACAGAAAAGCGACTTTTCTGGAATCGAATGAGGCAGAACGCTTTAGTCTTCTGCATTTGTTATTTGGCATATCGTGAACTTTCTCAGTGACTGATTTATCTGTTAGTTTACACGTAACAGTTAAAAATGCATCCAACCTACTGAAGAATCCAGCTGTAAAAGCATAAGTGTAGGAGTTTAAGGAGAAGATAAAACCTGCAAACTATAAAGGGTGACAGAAAAAGCGCAAAGAAATATCATAGTGATCAGTAAGGGCTCCTAGATTTGATCAGCCATTAAAGACAAAAGGATTATGATTGACAATATGAATTTGATACTCTTGACATTCAATCTTCAATTTCAAGTCAATCTATTCTCCAGTAGAATTTTTAATTACATAGGGCAATACATGAACATAATAACGCATGTTTTACCCCCTTGCTTTTGAATTAGATGTACATACGATATTTTCTAGTTGATGGTATATTGTTCAAATCAGAATTATTCAGTAGGCTAAAGAGGAGTATCAACCATCAATTGTCTTTAGAATGCAACTATGAAAACTCTGTATGTGGGAATCTGTTCCTAGTTACATTAGATGAAAGTTCTAATTAGCCTGTGTTAAAGAGAAATTTCCTTTTGTCAAGTCATTCAGTTCATCAAGTGGGACAAATTTCCATCAGCTCTCGACCATACTGCATGCTTAAGGCAAGTCATCCATTTTAATTATGTCCGCTAAAACAAAAATTGCATACACTTCAATGAATCATTAAATGCTTATCCTCTCCAGAACAGAAAAAGTGAAGAATTTACAAAAAAAAACATACCTCTTCCGCTAGATTTAAAATTCGCTTGTCTCCAAAATAACCTCTGCAATAGTGGGCAACAGTTGGCCAAAATCAGAATTGGCAGAAGTCAAACTCAAAATGCAGTGTTAAGGCAAACTCTGTTTCTCTTTTAAAACCCCAAAAAAGAAATGCCGCAGAAAATCACATAATTGCTGCTCAGATCGTATCAATTGTTTGCAGTTAACTAAGAGAGACTATCATACGCTATCCTAAAGAGGATAGGCCCATAGGGTGGATGTACGTGACTTACAGATAGTAAATTTTCACTTTTAAGACTTTCAACTCCCTCTTCATAGGATTGAGATGAAACTGAATTTTCATTTCCACTAGGCATATCAATTATGCATGGGGAATACCCCTCTTCACTCTCCACTCGGAAATCAAAGCAGTTCTGGCAATCCAATTGAGCATCTAGGCATATTGGATCTTTAGATTGATTGGGAACCTCCAAGATGCTCAAGAATGTTGGTGGTGAAGCACAATGTGCATCGTCAACGTCCTTGGACAACAGTGAAACACTATAGACATCTTGACCCTACAGAAATAGAAAGGAGTCAATTCTTCAAGAAAAACATGAATGGTTATTTTAAGCTATTTCCAGACACCCGTTCATTAGATGAAATTGATCAATCAATTCAAAGCAAGGCACGCAATACATTAATACAACATTGATGAGTTTATCTAATCTCTTTCTGGTCCTTATAGATTGTGAGAAGGAGCTTCAGCAACTTATACTTCATGGAACTATTCGATAAATAATAATCAGGTACCTCCTTTTTGGAGGGTGCGCGTCAGGAACTTTATTAAGACAATTAAAAAGAAATATTTCATAAAGACAGAGGTACGGAAATCGTATATTATAATGTAAGTCTATGAAACATTACTGCACATGAAAAATCATAGAATTCAAATCCTATCTCATAATGAACGTCTATGAAGCATTACTACGTAGAAAAACATATAATGCAAGTCTATGAAACATCACAAACTTCTATTCAGTGCCTCTTCCCTTTGCAACACATATGGCGAGCATTAACAGAAATTAGGTCAAACATCACAAGCATATGTATATCAACAATATCATCATAAATATAAGTTGAAAAGAAAAGGGCAGCCGTGTAAAAGACAGCTGATTGGGTAAGGTAAGACCAAGTATTGCCTTTAATTTATGTTATTCTAGTTTGGTCAACAAGAAACACTCAAACCACACCAAACTGTTGCATTCAATACACAACATTATCTATCTTTATTTTTCCCATTCTCACTCTTATCAGCCATAACGTTTGATCTGGGTATTAAAAACGGAGGGAAAAGGAAACAAAAGAAAAGGATTATAGAACGGCTTCAACAAAAACAGGAAAAAAAAAAAAACGAAGTGTTTTTATAGTAGGAGAAAAACTCACCGGTGAGCTGCTTAAAGGTTGATATAATCCTGATGGTAGTGAAGCATCTTCAACAAGAATTGGCGGAATCTCTAGAACGGAATAAAGTATCAGTTTGAAGTCCTTTCAGCAACCTCTTATGAGCCGGGGTGAAGAAAAACTATATACAAGTTCTTTCGTACGATTACCTGAGGAAAAGCATTGGCTAGCGTCTGTAGGGCTTGATTTGAGTGATTTCGCACACCGACAATCGGCAGGTTCGCTGCCATTCCCTTTCAGGAATTCCGCAATTAGTGGTCCTCCCTGCAATTACTCTACAGGTCAGAGTTCTCTACAGCTTGGGAAGGCGTAGACTGAATAAAGTCGTCTCTTAAAGGTAAAAGTCCACGGAGAGTGGCTATTGCGTCCCCGAAATATTATCCTAATTTGATTTTAAGTTTCTAAGGCGGCTGAACTAAAACATTGTTGTTCGCAAATCAATCCATGAATCAACTTCCACATCTCAAATAGAAGATAATTTAGAAGAAAGTCTAAGCAAAAACGTTCGATCGCTGAGATTTATATCTTTGATTCCCATCAAACTGTCGAGTACTTCACAACCTCATTACTTCGCATAAGTTTGACTTTCTTCTCCCAGCTTTTAGCAAATAAACTAGAACTGAAAAGCATATGGCAAATGCGATTGGCTTCAGATGCTGAGAAAATTCATGTCAAGCAGCTAAACTTAAAATTTAGCTGACAAAACGAGAAGCAAACTACATGAGTTGGACATCTAGCCGAAGATCAACTTCATTTCAATCTGTGAATTAACTTTCACGCTTCATATAGAAGAGAATCTAGAAGAAAATCTAAACAAAATCGTTTGACCTTTGAGATTTATAGATTTGATTTCCATAAAAACTCCGGCAGTACTTCACGTAACTTCCACATTCCTCTCTTAACTGTTAGCAACTTAAATAGAACTGAGAAGCAACTGGCAAATCCAATCGACTTCGGATGCCGAGAAAATTCAAGCCAAGCAACTAAACTTGAAGTTCAGCTCACAAAATAGAGAACCAAATCTACATCAGTTAGACATCTAGCCGAAGATTAACTTCAATTAAGCAAAGTATAAGACTATAAGAAGAACGTTACCTCGCAGGACGAATGAACAGCCATTACTGATGAGAATCAGAGCGGAAGTAGGAATAAATGGCTTTGTTCATGAACTGGCTTTAAGAGGAAATAATCACCCTGAGCTATGAACGCCACGTCACATCAAGTAAAACTCTTTTGGACCCTACATTACCAATACGGTGGCGCGATTTGCCAGAAAGGCTACTGAATAATACGACGTCTCCGTTCCCGACAACGACATTTATTTACCCTTCATGCCGTTGGGGCCATATTGACCCTCGCTCTGGAGCCTTTTAAAGATTTTCAAGTATTCAGAAAATGACAGGACATGACATAAAATTAAAAAACAAATTGGTATATTCATGGATAGTATTTGAAACATTTTTGTGCTTTAGTTATTTTTAAGATAAATCCACTGCTATTTTATTTCATTCTTAACTCAACTACCGCGTTTGGCCTTCTTACTCCGTTGGGATCTTCGATGCAATAAATGGCCGCAATAGCCGAAGTTCTGTGTGACCTGTTGGACTCAATAAATGGATAGAATGCCAGAAATAAATAATGTGAAGCATCAAGGTTTTTTTGGAACTTGGAATAATACTGAACTGAGTAAAGGATGCTGGGGAGAGAATATTAGACTAGTTGCCCTCGGTTGAAATTTGAATTGTTAATGCTCTTTTATTCTATTTACAGGATACTGAAAAAAATTTTTTGTATAAATATATAATTTTATCTTTTATTTATTATTATATTAATTTTATTTAAATAAAATATAATATATATTAAATAGGAATAAAATTAAAAATTATTGAATTTTAAATGAGAATTATTAAAATTTAAGGTTTTTCTTAATCCGTTTGAAACGTGTCAAACTTTCTGTAAACGAGATTGATGCATTCTTTTTTTGAATTTCCTCCCCGGGCATTTTAAGACAAGGTCATCTTCCAAGCACATCAACAAGCTCAAACTAATCTGGAGCAGTACTTTATGGGACTCCAAGGGCAACTTGCCTACCACAAATACTACTGCATTCCCAAGCGGGATTGAAACCCTGACTTTAGTTAAGTTAGAACGACCCCTAACCAGTCGATTTAAGCGTTTGGTAGTAGTAGATTGATGCATTCTCATTTGATATAGGAGGGATGATGTTTTTTTTTTAAAATGTTGAGATGTTTTAATTTCAATAAAAATATATTTAATATTTTTTGTTAAAAAAAGGAAAAATTAGGAAAAGTCCTTGCTGGTTATTTTATTAATAAGAAGAGTAAAATACTTTAACCTCCCTTGTATTTTGTCTTAATTATACAGACCTCCCTTCTATTTTAAAAATATACACTTAAATCCAGACTGTTAACTACTTTAAGAATATTTCAAAAATTATTTTTTTTATTTCAAATTTATATTGAAACACTTTCTATTTGCTAAATTATCTATCATAATACTAAATCCCAAAATCTTGGTTAAAACTATATCGAAGAATTTAAGATTTTTTGCTTTACCTTAATTTTATTTTTTTATTTTTGAAAATTGTTGTTTGTTTAATGTTTTTATCATATTGGACCAAAAAATTAAGTAATTTAGCTAATGCAAACATAAATTTAAATGATTTATATAAGTTTTTGAACTCGTATAATTTATATTATGTGATAAGAAAATAAGCATTCAAAATATTTTCTAGCCATTTAAAAAACAATCTTAAGTTTCAATATTTCATGAGAAACTAAAATTATATAATTCTATAATATAATTGAAATTAAAAATTTTATAATATAATAAAAATTTTGAAAAAACATGTATTATAATTATTTTTCATTGTATCAAAATTATTTTTTTATTCAAATGTTTAAATAACATTCATGTTAAAGAGAGATATTTTGGTCAAAATAAAATTTAAAAATCAAATTTAACTAATAGTTAAATGAATGGAAATTGAATCTTAAAAGTATAAGGAATGTTTGTGTAACATACATTTTAATTTGAAGAGAAGTTTATACACGTTTTTAAAATAGAAAAAAGGTCTATGTAATTTAAATAAAATAGAAGGATAATCCATATATTTTACTCTAATAAGAATGAGTCAAATCAAAGCATCGGTATTCTGTATATATAAAATTTACAGAGTACTGTTACCCGAAAAAATTTACAGAGTACTACTATTTTTTGCATATAAAAATTTACCAAGTCTATCTCAATGTTAAAATTTTTAATAAAAAATTGTTTTCTAGTGATTTCTTTTTCAGAAAAAAAGAAATACTCTTATCTTTAAGCCTTTTGCCGTGGCTCCACGGGCACACCGAGACAAATGTCCGTGAAAACGAGTCACGGACTTGTTAACTGTTCTCATTCTCTCTCTCTCTCCTCATTCATTTGTGGGACCGGTGTAACGGATAGTTCCCATTCACACTGACCCGCTGGGCTCCTTTTTAAGCCCATTTATTTTTTTATGCTAAAACATATGTATCTCTTTGTTAAAGATAATCTTTTTTTAGTAAATATTCGCACCTTAGTCTGCTGAAGGACTGGCTCTTTCTGATCCAAATCCGCTGGTAGGTCCAGCTGTTTTAATGAACCTGTACCACCCCCATTGTTGGTCCACGTGGGCTCATTACATAAAATATATCTGAATACAAAAAGTGGACCCATTCCGCCTCGTCTACAACGGATTAAATTCTCTCTCTGGGAAAATTTTTTTTCTATTAAATTAGAATTTTTACTAAAAAAATGTCTATATTTAGTACTCCCTCCGTTCCTTATTATAAGAGACAAATAACCGAAGTACGTTGATCAAAAAAACAGTTAAAATTAGTTAAAAATAATTAATGTGTAAAAAGTATAATTTTTTTCCAAAAATGCCCTCATTAATAAGGAGAGAGAGAACAATTAAATTATTAAAAGAAAGAGAAGTGGGAGGGAGAGAGAGTGTGAGTTGGAGATAATAAATATGGGTAAAATAGTAAATCAACACAAAAAAGTAGAGACAACTTGTAAGTGTCTCTTATATATAGGAACATGCCATAAGCATCAAATGTCTCTTATAATAAGGAACGGAGGGAGTACTTAATAGTACCTTAAATACAACTATTTTTAATAAAAAATATATGCCTAAAAAAAATAGAATTGATACTATTTTTAAGTTATTTTTCAAATTTTAGAAAGCCAAAATTAAAATATGATTAGAGTTCACAGATTGATAACAATATTAACTCTAAAAAGAATCTCTTTCTGATAAGGGAAAAAAAATCTTTTTAAAAAACACACACAGGATATATGCATTGGATTGAATGTAGAAATAAATATTCTCCCGGTATTTAATCTAAGATCTAATTAATTAATTTGAATTAATTAAAAATATTAGCTAAATTAGTACATATAATTTTTTTAAATACTCTAAGCATCTTTCTTAATTCTCTCCCTTCCACTTCTACTTGAATATTATTAGAAAAATATCATTAGGGTTCATTTGGAGAAAAATTAATAAGCTTGTGAAATAGGTCTTATATATAACATCAATATTAATTCTCTAATTAAATCATACCCTAAGACTAGCACGCTGGTTGTATGAATAGGATTTGGATCCCTTCCCTTGTTCGCCCCCATGAACAGCTCCATAAAGATTATTTTTCTTCACACACTCATTTTCTATTATTTTTATAATATTATATGTAATAAAATAAAATAATGAATATAGATTTTTTTTTGCCAAAACAAGATGGTTTTATTAATCACCAAAACAAACAATTACACACACTAATAGCCACTTAAGGCCTGAAAAGAAAAGACACTCAAAAGCCTAAACATAAAACCTACCACACAGCAAAAAATAAAGCACAAACCTAACATACAACCTAAAAAACACAGCAAAAAGAACACAAGACAGCAAAAAGAGCAAAACAAACGAAAGGAGAAGCTGCATCAGGTTAGCCAATACCGGTTCTATCAAACTCCCGATAATCAATCCCAGAAATAGGCCTTGCAGACTTCCTGTTGCTACCAATGTCCACATCCAGAATGTGTTTCAAAGCAGGTGCTAGATCAAAAATCCACCCCACAGGGCACACCTCTTTTCTACAACCCACAGCAATCCAGTTTGCTGCCTCATTGCCTTTCCTAGGAGTCAAGGCAATTTCAAACCCTCCATAACCTTTCATCTCAAATATTACAGTCTGCAATTCCCATCTGCACCTCCAGTCAACATTCCTAGCAGAATTCGTTTTGCAGCACCAGAAGATCTCAGAGCAATCAATCTCCAGAACTACATTTTTTTAATTCTAGATCTTTTGCAATACAAAAAGCCTTTTGTAAAGCCAGAACTTCAACTTCAAGAGCAGAATTAGCTACAACTTTATCAGCAAAGCCCCATTGCCAAATACCGTCCTTATTTCTACACACAACACCTACAGCTGCTGAACCAGACTTCTCATCAAATGAGCCATCAGAATTTATCTTCATATAATCCCCTTCAGGAGCTTTCCATCCCATCTCAGCCGCTACATTCTCATTTTGCCCTTCCACCACCTTGCTCCACCCTTTAGCTTCCCAAAATTCCCTCACAGCTCTACCAGCGTCACTGATCACTTTGACCGGATTGACTGCTTTAAACTCAAAAACTGCATTATTTCTTTCTTTCCATATCAGCCACATTAACCAAGCTACATAAGCTAATTGAAAATCATCAAGAAATTTTTCTTCTACTAAAACTTGCATACACCAGCTCCCAAAGTTACCAAAGCCTTCTTTTTCAAATCTCAGAGCCAGTTCACTGCCAAACCATACACTTTTAGCCCAAGGACAGGTAAAAAGGGCATGTTCAATTGTTTCAGCCTCCTTATTGCAGATTGGGCAATTTACTGAGACTCTGCATTTTCTTCTAGCGAGTTCTTCTCTAACAGGTAGAGATCTCACCAGACATCTCCATATAAAATGGATAATTTTTGGTAGAGCCTTGATTCTCCAAACCTTCTTCCATAACTCCCCAGATAGAACTGTGGATGAGCTCGCCCTGTCTACTGCTTTAGTATTCATGTTTTTTGTTGTATAATACCCTTTTTTGACTTCATACTTTCCATTTCTTGCAACTTTCCAGACTGGTTCATCCTTTCTGTTGATGAAATTCAGAGGTACCTTCACAATCCATCCCAAGACCTCCTCACTAACCAGGCCCCTCATTCCTTCCAAATTCCAGCAACCTTCCTAAATCAGATCAGCTACACACCAATGCTTATTCTGATCAGGTACATT